CCATGCCTTGGATCGTACCCTGAATACACCCGTTCAGATTCAGACTCAGACCTTGGTGGCTATGGCTTCCGTGCTTCCCTGTCACTTCCCTAGCTATGGTTTACGTCAGCGCTCCCTTCTTCTCCGAGTGCAGTCTTGCCCAAGTCGCTTGGTCGCACAAGCAGCAGCAGCGCTTCCGCAACTTCATGAGTGAACAACAGTGTAGGACGCTGCACTCCGGCAGCTAAATATAGAAATTGGTCTTCACATGCCAGCGGATGATGCCGCCTTCAGACCGGTAACAGTCAGCCACGGCCTGTCTGCGGTCCAGAAGCTTCCCGGACTTTCCTGGGACATGCTGCAATTTTTGTGGACATAGGGTGACTCGAATTTTCAGGACATAGGCCCGACTTGGACTTCAGACACCCCTTCTAATCTATCGGACGTACCCTGCTGGGACTTGCGCTCGGAAACTTCCGAAACTTTCAGGCGTCTGCAGCGTGCAATCTTTCCACTCCAGAGGGCCTAATTTTGCGGTCCTCCAAGGAAAATACAATCTTTACCTATCTGCGACGTCGATCCCTTTCCACGCTCTCTCTAATAGGAAACAATATTTGGCGCACAGTTTCTATAAGCTCCTCCCTTGTAAACCAATCTTTTTCAGGCTCTTCGTACGCGAATCTGACTTTGTATTGTCGCTGGGGTCGTCCCCTTCGTCCTGACCAGTAGACAACTTCGGTTACGATTCTGTCAATATCATATCTACCATCCATATCAGGTGGGATCGTTGACCTCCGAGACGGGAAGTCATGAGTGATCGTATAGGGGAGTAACTTGGATGAGTGGAAAACGGGATAAGTGTGCAGATGTGGTGGGATCTCGATTGTGTAGGAGAGAATATCCGCGTCTCCAATGATGTCAAGAATTTCCCAAGGTCCTCTATAAGCTGGTAACAGCTTCTGTAAAATGCCTTCTCCGGGGGGGAATTCCTTGGGACTTTGCCGAGACTAAGTCCCCTACAGCGAACTGCGACAGCCTGTGGTGCTTGTTGGCTTGCTCTATCATCTGATGCTGGGCCTTCCTGGTGTTCTCAGTCAAGCATTTTAAGTCCTCATACTGTATGGCAAACTCCCTTGTACGGGGTGGCACTCGCTGAACTTGATCCAGGTTTAGACAGTCTATGGGCCGCCTAGGACACCACCCTCGATGTAGTTCGTTAGGCATCCATGAGGTAGCCAAGTGTACTGAATTGTAATACGCATGTACTACCTTAGGGAGGTGATCATCCCAATCCTCCTGGTCTGGTCTAATATACATCCGTAGCACTTGCTGCAGCAGCTTGTTCATCTGCTCAGTCTGTCTGTTAGTCTCTGGGTGTCGGCCTGATGACATGGTCCACTTAGATCCGTAGACTTTCATCAGTTGCTGCCAGTGCTCACCTGTAAACCTAGTGTCGTGGTCACTAACTATGGTCAAGTGGTGCCCGTAATCCTTGAACCAATGGTTAAAGAATTCTCTAATCACTAACTCGGTCTTTGCCTGGGCAGGCAATGGAACGAAAACAGCGAACTTACTGCTCTATCTACTATGATCATCGCTTGGCTCTTACCGTTCCTGCTCTTAACCTTCGTGTCCATGAACTCTTGTTCTGCTGACAGACTTTGCAGCCTTGGATATACGTAATACAGTCGTGCTTCATTCCGGGCCACGTGTAGGACCGAAGGAGGGTCGCATACGTTTTCCTTCATCCAAAATGTCCTTCGGTGTCATGGCATTCCCCAAAGATCAGACAATGAATCTCTTCCTCATTCCGGATGCACAGCCTACCGTTTACATCGGTCTTCTCAAACAGCAGTCGGTAATCCGGGACCTAGTGGTACTTTCCTAATTAGGTCGCTATATATGGGATCTTTCGCATCTGCGGCCTTAATTCTCTGCTGCAGGTCGGCACCTGCTCTAGGTACGTCACTATTGCGCCAAAGAAGTCTGTGCGCCTACTCATGGCGTCCACTACGATGTTATACTTGCCTTTGACTGGCTAAAGCTCAAAGTCAAATTGGTCGATATCCACGGCCCACCTGGTCAACTTAGGGGTCATCCGGCCCTGCGTTTGCAACCATCTAAGTGCCAGCTTAGGAGACCATGTCGCCCATGGTCGAAGGCCTGTCTAAGTGCATACAACTCTCTGTCATACATTGAGGCAGCGACCTTCTCACTAGGTAGTCTGCAGGACATGAACTCGATGGGCCTGTACCCCTCTCCATCATTCTGTTGGAGTACAGCGCCAATGCCATACTCTCTTGCGTCAATCGTGACAATGAACGGAAGAGGCGGGTCTGCTATCTTGAGGACTGGATATTCAATCAATCACTTCTTCAGCTTCTTAAACGTGGAAGTGCAATCTTTATCCCACTTCCAAACGGTCCCCTTTTTCAGCAATTTACGCAGCGGTGCAGCGATCGTAGTGAGATTGCGCACAAATTTTCGGTAGCAATTGGCCAGACCTAGGAAGGAATGCAGTGTATGTGGGCTCGGTCAGTCCCGAATTGCTAGATATCTTCTCGTCCTCCGGTCTAACTCCTTCTCCATCTACGACATGTCCGAGATACAAGACTTGGCACCTAGCCCACTTGCACTTCTTCGGGTTTAACTTGAACTTAGCCTCACGCGATTTACCCACAATCAAACAAAGGTATTCCTAATGTTCTTCTGATGTTTTGCTAAAGATCAGGACATCATCTAGGTATACGACAACAAACTTGTCTAACCACTCCCTAAAGAGATTGTTCACGCATCTCTCAAATGTGGCAGGGGTATTCGTCAGCCCAAACGGCATCACTACAGACTCATAGTGACCATAATGGGTCCTAAAAGTCGTCTTGTGCTGATCTTCAGGATCTACCTCAATTTGATGGTAGCCCGACTTCAAATCTATCTTTGAAAAATACTTGCAGCCTTGCACCCTGTCCAACAAGTTGTTTATTCACGGCCACGGTTCGGTGTATTTGACAGTGATTGCGTTCAAGCCTCTATAGTCGATACACATACGAAGTTCACCTCCTTTCTTCGGCACAAATAAAACTGATGCGCCACAGGGCGACGAGCTAGGCTTAATCCAACACTCCTCCAACAATTCATCGAGCTGCTTGCGCAGTTCGTTCAATTCTTTGGGAGACATCCTATACACGGGCCCTTCGGAGTTCTACTACCGGGTTCGATCTCGATCTGGTGCTTAATCTCTCTTTCCACTCCACCTGCAGTGCTCTCTCCCAAATCCGCAAACTCTTTCAACAGATTCTCTACTTGATGCATTATTACCTCTTCCATTTGCTCTTCTTCAGTGGTCGGTTTGACGTAGGCAACCAAGAATAGGCCAACTACATTCTCCTTGCCGACGTGCCTAGCGAGCGCAGGGGCACACATGCAACAGAGGGACGGACTAAACTCTATTCCAGACTCGTGGAACAACCGCATTTTCTTCTTCCCCCCTTCGGGACTGGGCAGCCAGCACTCGTGCTCCCCCATCTTTACGTCTGCATATGCGGTGTTTCCCCAATCCCCGGCTAGGATGATGTCAAAGGGTAAGTTCTCCTCCACTAGAAGGGTCAGGGAGTACAACAATTTCTCGACTTTCTTTTCCCCCTCCAATCGGAAGTATGCCTTGATCCCCTCGACATACTCTTCGACTCTCATCTCGCAATTGTCTGCCAGTTTACTAACGACCGGCTCGCTCAACTTTTGCATCTTCATGCCAAGATGCAACTTCTTCAATCCCTTCTTACTAACGTAACTATGCGTCGATTCACTATCGACTAACGCGTCTATTTGCATTCTACTAATCTCCACATCTCCTATGATTAGCTTCCCTTTTTAACTTTTCTTCAGTTCGGCCCAAGCCTTACGACGAGTGATCAGTTCATCGCCTACGCCTGTGAGGGAACCACCTAGAGAAACCCTAGTGCAAGCAGCCTCTGGACAGCTATCTAGGTGGGGGCCTACGTCAGCCTCTATCGTTGGGACCTTCAAACGGGAGGATACCTTCTTAGCGCTTGCTTCTCCCTGTCTATCTACGTCTGAGGTCCCAGTAGGAGCAGCTGCAACTCCTACCAGCCATTCCCTTTTGGATTCCGGATCTCCGAACAAAAGGGAATGACGTGGTTGGGTTCCCCGCACTTAAGACATAGCCCCTTCTCCAATGTTTGTGCCATGTTAAGGGTCTTCCATGGCTCCCCTTCTACTCTACTGGGATGCCATGGGTATCCGCGACCCCTACCTCTACCACCGTCATTTGCAAGGGCATAGTTGCCCCTTCCACCTCTATAGGAGACGAAAGCACGACCGCTCTGCGGGGATCCTTGACCCCGTCCACATGGCCGCCTCTTCCGCCCCCTCCCCCACAGGCCACAACAGCCGCATAAGGGGTGCACGCTGGAACTGCATTGTATTGTGGTTGGGGCACGCTTTTGTGTGGGCGCGCGAGGAAGGCTATGTCGTGAGATAAGGGGTGCACTCTGGAACTGCATTGCATTGTGGGTTGTGCCCAAGGTGGAACTGCATTGTATTGTGGGTTGTGCCCACGGTGGAACTGCATTGTATTGTGGGCAGTGCCCAAGGGGGAACTGCATTGTATTGTGGGTTGTGTCAAGGCATCCCGGTCATCATAAATGCACGTTAGGTTACTGGTGATAAATTTGTGGTTGGGGGCAGCACTGTGAGGTACGTTATCCCTTACGTTATCTACCCTCTTTGATACTTCTTACCTTGGTGATATACGTTGTGTCTTGAGAGTCCTCTCATTGTGAGGTGTGGGGAGCCCTCAACCTTGAGAGTCAACATTCTTCCTGGGGAGCAAGCTGTTGGGAGACGGGCGTTGCCTCTGAAGGGCCCTGGACGAAACACTTGGGTCACGGTCAGCATGCCAACCCGCTGGGACTAGTACACGCATGCTTTGCCGCTTGTTCTTTTGTCTGCTTGCTGCGCTGTAGAGGTCATGTCGGGCAGGACAGCCCTATGAGGAAGAGACGAGTACAAAATCCGACGGGGATACACGACTCGTGTTGTACGTGAGTATAAAAATATTACGGTCGGGGCTGGCTAGTTGTGCATTGACTTGGGGCAGAGGGGTGGGCCGATCACACAGCTTCAGACACACCGTTGAACCAGAGCTTCAGGATGTTGACACTAAGTGACTACCCAAGAGGGATGCAAGGGGAGGGAAGATACCAGTAAACAGTTTGATTGTTAATTCTTGTAAAATTCGATTATGTATGCACACCCGCAAATGATGGGAGGAAGAAAAAGCTTCCTCAGGATTGGAGGAAGAAGGGCAATCTCATGTTTGGTTATCATGACGGTCAAGCGGCTGAGATAGACGACTTCCCTGATCTTGGGGAAGAAACAGAGATAGATGGGATTGGGGAGACTTCAGGTGGTGGAGTAGTCGCACCCATGAGAGAAAAGGCTAAGGGGTCTAGGAAACAGAAGGTAGGCAACTACCACCCATATGGGTGAAGCTTGGTCTAGAGTATGAGGTGTGGCGAGACCGTGTTGCACGAGCTGCTTGTCTCAATTGTGGTCAGTATGGACACACATTGCGCAAGTGCAAGAGTAAGTGGGTTGCTACAAAGGCCCTTAATAGTGACAAGGCTACCTGTTGCGGCTTCGGTCGCAAGGGATTGAGGGGGAAATGGGAGAAATGAGTCGGGGTGGTGGGTTCAGTGGGTTTTGGGGTGGTGGTCGGGGGTGTTTTTAGACTCTCTCTCTCTCTCTCTCTCTCTCTCTCTCTCTCTCTCTCTCTCTCTC